CACACACACACACACACACATACGCATGCATTGATTCTAAGTGACGCTCATGGGAACAACAACAGAGGAGAGAAAAGAAAATAAACGAATCCAATTGGCAAATAACTCCAATTACATGCTCCGTTCAGAATAGCCCCTCAAGTCGTTCGCATAGTTAGGCATGAGCCCTTTTGCATCCCTCAGGCGTTTTGGAAGTTGGGTTTGCGCTTCTCTACAAACGCCGCCATACCCTCCTTCTGGTCCACCGTGGCAAAAGTGGCTTGGAAGGTGCGCTGCTCGTAGGCCAAACCCTGCAGCAGCGTTGTCTCCAACGCCTTGTTGACGCAGTCCTTTGCCAGTGAGATTGTCACCTGGCTATTCGATGCGATTTTCTCTGCGATGTTCATGGCTGTTGGAAGAAGTTCCTCGTGCTTTACCACACGTGCCACCAACCCAGCGCGCTCCGCCTCCTCGGCTGTGTACTGGTCACCCGTCAGCACCCACTCCATTGCCTTGCTCTTACCGATACTACGAATAAGGCGCTGTGTGCCACCCGCACCCGGGATTGTCCCGATCTTCACCTCTGGCTGCCCAAACACTGCCTTCTCGCTGGCTACGATGATGTCACAGCACATGGCAAGCTCGCAGCCGCCACCGAGGGCAAAGCCGTTCACTGCAGCAATGATGGGCTTGCGCATGCTCGTAACCGCATCCATACCACGAAGCATATTGTGATTATAGAAATCTACAAAAGTTTGGCTCGCCATCGCTTTAATATCAGCGCCGGCAACAAATGCCCGTCCTTCGCCAGTTAAGATCACAACAGAAACTGACGGGTCAGCGTCGTATTTAACGAGNTTGTCAGCCAGTGCGTTGACCAAGTCCGCGTTCAATGCATTCAACTGTTTGGGGCGGTTCAACGTCAACGTCATTACAGCTCCCTTTTGAGTACACCTGACGAGGGGCTCAGCTGCGTAGCGGAGAAGTGTGCAATTGCGCAGCATGGTATATATCCCAATTGTTCCTTTAATGCAAGCAAATGCACAACAAAAAGAAACAGAAATCACGCATATGCTCAAGAATAAATGTGGCTCTCTTAGTTTCCACATCCAGGAGAACTTCTTATTCCTGTAATGGCATCAGGCGCAGAGGTTCATAATTGCTTTTCAACCTCACCTCGCTACATTACCCACTCCTTCCAGACGATGAGAAGTGTATTCAACATAGTAACGTCGAACACCCAAACACCGTGGGGGTAAACACAGGCGTCGCAAACCTTACAAAGTGGAGTCATTTCTTTTCACCCGAGCAAATTTCACCTCTTCAAGTTGTCTTCTCCAGGGGACTCCATGCTTTTCCCAAAGATTTCTTTCTCCTTCATACCAATGATAGCCACTAACATTTTAATTTTAAAAGATAGACGAGGGAGTAAGACTCGCTTTAGACCAGTGCCCTCCACTTGTCTCATGATCGTCATTTGATACTGGCAGATGCCTGCTAAACGGCACCACCACAGAAATACCCCTTCTCGACGTATCCCGAATCCAAGATCTATTTGACTTCTTAGGCCCAGCAAGCAGTCCCAAGGCTATGCTGCACGATTGGGTTGTGACAACTGCACTCATCAAAGTAAAGGAAAGAGCCCCGATACAACACAAGGTAAATCAAAAAAAAGACTCTCATGTAACTGAACAATAAAACTGCGTCTGTGGCATGCACCGCTCAAGTGATGCACTTCGTGCCGCACCATTTATGGGAAATGACGTTTACGGGCTGCAACGACAGCGTCGGCCAAAGCTCTCGTAACCGCACAAATAGCTTTACTGACGCGTCACACACAGCCCCCTGAGAGCGGCTGCTTCATGCTATAGTCCCGCTTTCATCAGAAAAGATGAAGAACATTTCATCTGGTTGACCAATACCTCTCAATCCCCCTTTATCACACCCCACCCTCTTCAATACGCCAACACAGTTAGCCATATCAGGTGAAGCCGCGGCATGATTAAGGAGAGAATCATTACAATCTGAAAATCATCGGGATCTTTCTCACGGAGAGGCAGATGTAAACAAAAAAAGTTTTCCACTGCGAGCGGGGCCGTGGGCGTCTTGCGAACAATAAAAGAAGACAGGAGGAGGGGCAAGTACGCCTTCATCAACCACTTCGATTAGCTTAACACATCCAATAAAACTTCCCCATGTCGGCTAGAATATCGGCCATTGTGGTGCCGTTTGCACAGCAGCACCTGTGATCCAAGGCATTGCAAGAGCAGATTGCATCAGACCCCCCGCCCCCCAATGATAAAAAAAGAATCCCGTGCGCTTCTACGCGCAAGACTCCTGTGACAGGCGGCTATATCACACCACCAGTTTTTCGGCAAAATGGAAAAGAAAAAAAGCTCAAGTCTTTCCCTGCCTGTGCGACAGTTTGAATCTCTTGTGATGGAGCCAAATCAGTTCGATGACCATGTGGTTAATACTTCGTGCGAATTGCCTGGAAGTCCCACTCGTCGATGGAGTCACCCAATATGTAAATACCGGCGGGTGCTGCGTATAGTCCCCGATAGAGGTTTTTTTTTACAAGCGTAGGGTAGTCGCGACTGAAGTGGGGTCTTTTTTCATCCTTGCCTTGCTGCTATGTGATCCGGGGGCTCTAATAAAAAGTGCGATGACTATTAGCTTCGCCGCCAATTGTGAACAAAAGAAGAGACAACCATTTCTCAAACTTGCAAAACAAATATACCGGCGATCAAACCATTAAAAAAAACAATATTCACGCACACCTAGAAAAGGGGGATAACTGCAATTACTGACAACGATGCTTCTACGACTACGACCCTACGTCTCAACTACAAGTCGCCAAGTTTGTCGAGTTTTGCATTCACCTCCTTGGTGACATCTGCCTGAGAACGCCTCAAACACTCATTTTTTTCCGCATCGTTGTGAATGAGGCGAGTCATGTACTCTACCCCCAGCTTAACATTCGCAACAGCTTTTTCCTCTGTGCATCCTTCAAAGAAAGGGTGCTTCAATAGATCGGCGGAAAATGGTCTCTCTTGTGGATCTCTAACCAGGCACTTTTTTACAAAATCACGGGCGTTCTCAGAGTATGCAGGCCTTTCGGGAAGTGTCGGTGTCGTATCCCCAGCGATTCTGCCCAACACGTTGAATAGATTCATTTCCTCCGGCGGCGCCCACGGATTTTTGCCAGTGACTGTGGATATCATTGTGAGTCCCAGTGACCACACATCACTACCAAAGCTGTATGCACCCTGCTCTAGGCGTTCAGGAGCCATGAAGTACATTGTCCCGACGTATGTTGAGGAAACATCAAGCGTCTGAACAAGTTTGGACACCCCAAAATCACCAATCTTGACATATCCATCACCACGAATTAGTAAGTTGCTCGGCTTGATATCTCTATGAATCACACGTTTTGTATCATGGAGATAGACAAGTCCAGAAACAACCTGAAAAAAGATATCGCGCAATATGGTTTCCTCTATACCTTCCCAAAAGTAACTCAAATCCTGTAGAGTGTATGCCATCCACTCCATGGGTATAACGATGGCAGCCTCTTCAGAATCCCAAAATGCACCTAGATTCTTCATGACAAAAGGTGAGTTCGACTGCGAGCTAAAAAAGGACAGCTCACGGTCTATTTCATCTCGATGCGGCTTTGATGATATGGGTATGTGTTTCAGAGCCACAGGGGTTCCATTCTTTAGCTTCGCAAAGTAGACTGCGCCACTTGCACCCCTACCAATCACTCTTTTAGACGTATCATCGATATCCTCTTTCGTTACGCTTCCAGGCAACTTTTTACCATCTTTTGTGAACATGCCGGACTCGTTTAGCAAGAATGCCCGCAACTGAAGTGAGTTGTTGTTCTTTATCTGATAGGACTGTAGATCCCTTTGGGACTTCTCCACGGCTGCCGCGTCTAAAAAAAGACCTAGCTTCTTCATGTGAAATATGAGGTGTAAAACTATGTGTGAAAATTTAGAAAAAAAAACAACCTAATACCTATCATACCAACAAAAAATCGTACAACAAAAAGGCAAACATGATCGCCACAAGGTGTCACTGAAAGGAGCACTTTTTATCCATCACTTCAGACAAAAAAGAAGCTTCGTAAACAAAAGAACCACTCTTCCACCTACAGTAAAGATGTAACCATGTTTCTAAGAGTCTCCATTTTCAATGGATAGACCAGTGTCGGTGATGTTGTTGTCTTCATTGTTGATGTTTTTTTCGCCACTTTTGTTATTGTTGTTGTCCATGATACTGCAGTTATTGTTGTTGTTGCTGTTGGAGTTCTCAGCGCCTACTAACGGCTTTCCATCAGGGCTTGTGTTGTGTAGTCTCCCCGCATCACTTGAAGTGATGTCGCCATCGGATAAAGCATCTTGAGGCACTCCGGAGTCTCTTCTCTTCTGCGACACCCAATGGGCCTGCTTTGAGTGGTTACAAGTAGCGCAAAGAGGCTTTCCCCATTGAGGTTTAAAGCTGTCACAAACTGGAAGCAATTGCTTTTTCTTGGAAGTTACTCTCACTTTTTCAGCCTCCTGGCGGAAGCGAGATACTACATCCTTTGGATCGATGTGTCGTTGGCGTCGCTGAGGTTGGGGGTCCGAATTTGAAACCGAAACATCACGTCTAGGTGTCATGATACGACTAGATGTACTCCTATCCCTCGTGGCATCGCTGAAGTTTTGCTTTCTACTGCGTGGAGTACTACCCGTAATACCGCGTGGAGTACTACCTGCAACACCTCGCGGTGGTGTCGGCCCCCTGCTAGAGCTCCTAGCTACGGGTGGTTTGCCGTTGTAACCATTGAAAGACCCTGTTCTCTTCGGTGGTTCAGGAACCCCGCCAGGGCCCTTTCGGACGACCTTTGTCCTTGGCGAAGGAGGTGAATATCCTTTCTGAGGGCTCCCCGAGGTGATGCTCCTCGTGCCACCTCCTCGCGCACAACCTGAAGCAGCTAACCCATTCGATGGGCTACTTGGAATCACTACACCCGGTCTTGGCCTGATAACAAGAGTGCCTTCGTTGGCACCTTCAAAAACAGCCACAATAGCAAGTCTGTTAGAAAGCACTGAGTCTTTGTACTCGGCCTGAATCTCCGATGGCTTGAGGTGTTGCACTCGCAGCAGCTCTGGCACCTTCAGAAGCACATCAGATACATCTGCTGTTTCGTCAACCACGAGCTTTATCGCCTCATCATTTGACTGGTGTGGCTCACGCAGCCATACCTTCAGCATTACCATTTCTCTGATCTGCCTCCGATATATATATAAGAAAATCAAGGGTGAGTGAAAAAATACCAGTCTCAAAGAGCACGTGAAAGCAAGGTCAGCGCCTACTTGGATTGCAGAGGCGTACAATTTGCAGCAGCAGAAGCAATAAGAAAACTAACTCCATCTTTAGTTACTTAAAGATGTCGTCAATGTCATCGTACTCTCTTGCCCCTCGGTTTGCCAAGTCTTCACTCTCAAAACGAGGAACAGTCTTCTCCTCGGGTTGCACAGAAAATAGATCTACTAGCTCATAATTTTGCGGTGTAAGCGGATCTGCATTCCCTTGACTTGACTGTTGCACGGAAGCAGTAGCAGCAGCTCGTTTCTCGGAGTTTATCCGCTTAGAAACGCCTCGGCCATTCTTCACTGACAACAACGTGTCAGCAACTTGGTCGAAGCCTTTTACTGCGTCCTTGAAGAACGTGCTCAACTGAAGGAAGAATACATTGCTTGCATCCCATGTTGACATCGACACCTGCTCCAAGACAAAAGATGTTTTATCCATACTACGCTGCAATATTCCATTGTATTGATCACCACTTTTCTGCAATGCCTCCAACGATCGTTGGAACTTGCCCTCTGCCACTTCAACCCTATCCGACTGCGCACCTGAACGAGCTTTTTTCAGCTCGTTTTCACACACCTGCGCCTTTCTTCTCTGTCCATCAAATGAAGTTTGAGCCCTACCAACTTCATACATGACATCCGCATAGGTTTCTTCGAGTTGTCCAAGAGAAGCCGATTGAATACCACAACAATTGACCTTAATGTTACAGGTCAGATCATTAGCCAATGTCCGCAAATTGCTACCGACCAGCTGAATTGAACTAAACTCTTCTTCTCCATTGACACTTGGACTCTTTGACTCAAGGTGCCGTTCACACACCTCCATGAACTGTTGAAGGTCTGAAAACACCTCGTCAAGTTGAAAAATAAGTGATTCAACGGTTTTTCCAACCATTTCAAACTGATCTGTCAAGCGCATCAGTGCAGCCCGTGTCTGCGATACCACCTTCATGCGGTCACTGTATACTTCGTCGCTGGTCTTTTGAAATTCGCCTAACACAGAGAGAATAGAGAGCTTACCATGCTCCAGAAGGCAGCGCAGGCCGTTAGGCCCCTGAAATTGTCGAAGAGAGACACTTACATCATGTAGAACATGCTCTACATCGCGTGTATTCTCTCGCAGGGCCCGCATAATGTATTGCAATTTATAACTTATGAACTCTATCAAGGTAAATAATACAAGAGTAACGAAAAAAAAAGAGAAAGAAAACAGGTAATGACAAGTCTACTCTTTTCCTCAGTTCTTTCTGCAGAATAGGAAAAGAACAGACACCCCTTCAGGTAAAGAAATGTTATCAGTGCCCATTTGGAACCGCCTTGTGATTATTGATTACGTTACTATCGGAGTTTTTAATCTTCAGTCTTCGGAGGACTCAAGTTCTAGAAAGGGGTTTTGAAACACCATGTCAAACGCGTCCAGAGCCTCATCAATAAATTCTTCATCGTTGCACTCCGGGGAGAAGAACTTGAAGAGTGAGTCTTGACGCACTCGCTCTGTCCCAGGCTTCCATTGAATAGGCGTCAGCGCCGTTGTGTTGAGGTTAGTGTCAACTTCTCGGAGAATTGTTCCATTCTCAGCAAACATATTCGGTCTTAATTCGAGTGAGACACTCCGACGCAATGAACCATCCTTGACGCTTGTTTTTACCTTGAAGCCTGTGACAGCTCTTAGAATCTTGGGATCAATCGTGCCATTCAGCAATGGCTTCAACGGAGAATCCGTAGCTGATAAGACACCACTCCAGAAGCCATCTACCTTATCCAGAGCGCCTTGACGTTGCTCAAACAAATCTTCAATCTTTGTTCGGTATTCAATACGGAGTTTTTCCAGCGAAGCATCGGTCTCAGCCTGCAGAGCTGAAACTTTATTGCTACAATCGGACACCGCGTCTATGACATTCTGAGGAATCGAATCCATCTTGATGCTTAGTGCCTACAACGCAAGCAGAAGGGAGAAAAAGACCAAAACGGAGGAAAACAATATCCCCATTGCAAGAGAGAACACCACTTGAAGTATACGATACAAGGAATAATATATTTTATCGGCGTTTTTCTTTCTCAGAACGAAAAAAAAAAACACGACAAACAACTCATCATACCCTTTTCGCCAGACTCACCCCCATCTTACAAGCCAACCGTATTCCGTTGTATAAAAGCGGATATGCAGGGGCTTCAGCAGCTCCATTTGTTTCACCAAGATGCTGGTGATGCTCTTCTTCATCCCTAAACTTGACGACAATATCCTTAATTTCTTTCCATGCTTCGTCCTCATGTGTCTTCTGCCCTTCTTCCACTCTCTCAAGCGATTCAAGCTCACGAAGTTGATCGTTATAATGCTGTGCTATTGTGATTTCAACTGCTGCATGACAGCACATCATCGCCTCTTTGCCAAGTAGAGCTGTAAGTGTACCCATGGCGCAAGCGCCCAAATTAAACATAGGATCCAGGGCGGTCAGTCGGACATGGTGCTTAGTGGCCAACTCATTCATGGTCTTTTCGTGAACCACTTCATCCTTTAGTATTTCTTTGACAATTGGCACAGACTCATTTAGCGGCGACATCCAGAACAGCTGGTACTTACATATTCGGACTGCTGCCACCTCCCCCGCCTGATCTACTCGAACCACCTCATCGATTTTCAGACGTTTGGCCGGGTTTGAAAACACGCCGCCTGATTTTGATTGAAACCTCCAAAGCGACCGTCTCATCTTCTTTATCCTAAACGGTGCGTCGCGACAAAAAAAAAANCCCCCGCCCCAGTTTTTCTGCCAGGCGGGGCCGGTCTTCGGTTTCCCGGGCGCCGGGCCGCCCGCGAGCAAGCCGGGGCGGGGACCCCGGGCGCAAAGGCACGCGGCAGGGACAAGGCCTAGCGCGGATCGGGGGGCGCCCTTGTTTTGCGGTCTCGCTTTTCATTCTTCTTGTGTTGTTCGGCGGCACCGCTGGGGCGGTGGCTGTTGAGGTCGGGGCGGCAGGAAGGTGTGGGGCGTTCGGCTGGCATGTGGTTTGTGTTGTCTTGCTTTCTTTTCTCCAAAGCCCCTGCCACACACCCTGTTTTTTCCGATGATTAACCTTGATGTATTGCTGATGTCCCCAAATGGAGTTTTAAGGTGTTTTTTTGTGGCAACTAATGCCTCCAGCCAGCAACCCACTCACTTTCTCATGTGGCGCCCGCCGGGGAGATGAAGCGATCATTGTGTGCTGCCGAGTTCGGTGTATATAGATAAATTGGGGTGTGTCCACAGAGCAATCTCCTTGTTTTTAAAGGGAATTTACAGATGATAAAGTTTACCAGACTTGAGAAGAACTGGATGACATGTGGAACCTTGCCAAAGCATTCTGCTATTGTCTTTTTTCTCGCATATTTCATTTATATTTCTGGATCGATTTTGCAGATTAATAGCCCCACGGCCAGAACATGGGTTCACTGCTAATTTTGTTCTTATTTGAAGTGTGATTGTGACTTTTTTCTGTTCTTCTTCTTTGACGCTCTTGCTCGTTTTTGTTGCTCTTTTATCGAGTGGAGGTGTGTAGAACGAGGGTGCAGAAGGCCATTTCAAAGATTTTATTTTGAGGGAGTCGAAACATTTACGTTGCAAGACATGCTGTCAACCCTTACTGACTTAACCCGCCTTTTTGTTGCTTTAGCTGGCGTCCTTGGTTGTGGTCATACTGGTATCCACTTGCATTAATTCACAGGTTCTGGCTGGGCGGATGGAGTTAGAAACACAACGTCTCTGGAAGGTGAGGGAAGGTGTATCTCATATACATGGCGTGCGGTGTAACTAATGAGAATCGAATTACTCAAAAAATGTTAAAAAAAAATATCCTGGGTTTAACACGGATGTGGAGCGAACAAGTGCATGCTGAATTGTAGAAGAAAAACCGGAGGTTGAATAGGAGGATCTCAAAATAGCAATTAATAAAGAGCTTTGCGACAGTGCGAGTTTTTTAGATCTCTTGTTTGGGTCTCTTGTGGAGCTTTGAACCGAGGGAAAAGTTTTGTTTTGGGTAGAGATCCGCGCTAAAAAA